TCCTGAGGAGAGTGTCTTTACTCATATGCGGTCCGACGGGTTTCATATTCACGGGAAGATCAAAGTTCTCGAGCTCTTCGAGTTCCACATTCGAGGCGTCCATCCGTTCGAGTCGTTTCTCCCAAAACAGTTGTTTCGGTCGTTCGGTTTGCGAGCCGTGTTTGAGCTCTTGCTTCACACGACTGTCCGGTTGGGACTTAATGACAGTCACCGGCTGTTTGAAGATCGACGCCGTCTGACGAATGGGTGGCATAAGTGACGAGTCATTCCTCATGTTCTTCGTGTAGTCGTAAGCCATGGCTCCTTTCGAGCGCTTGTTTTTCCTCATAAGCGATGAATTGATTTTCCCCGTCCTGTAGTCGAAAGTAGTCAAGTCGACCGAATCGCCCAAATAGCGGGACATCTGTGGCTTTGTCCGGAACTTACGACCCGATGGACTGCAAACACAAGACAACACATCCATTCACTCAACCATTCGGTTAACCATTGGTTACAAACCTGTAGTAAAAGATGTCTATCTTTCCGGCCGACAGACCATTCCGTCGGCAGATCTCTTCGCGAGTCCAGCCGTCGGGAAGCGCTTGACATGACATCATTGACAACACAACTGATGGCAAATGGCTTTCAAAATGAGGTGACAATCAATTTGAAGACCAAATCAATTGATTATATGATCACTCATTCAAAGTGTCGGACATCTAAACACAGACTCCGTTCAAAAAGTCCGTTACTTTTAACTGAATGACCAGTTTTTGATCCCCTTTTTATCGGTCCTATAATCAAACAATTCTTGTAAAATAATGTAATAATTATTAGTTAATTATAATTATTTAGTATTTAATAATAGATTAATTACACTGGATTATAAATGGCATAATTATTAACTAATTAAATAATTATATGGATTTTGTTTAAATAAAATAACAGTTTTATAATAAAATAAATTTTATGAAATTTATTTCTTAAACTCGAAGAATATGTAAGATTTAATTGAAATCTTTTACATAGTATTACATAAGATTAAAAATTGTCACATAATATGTATTTTAAAATAATTAAACAAATTTCCCATAAGATATGAAAGTGTAGTCTTGATTAGTAATGTATTGGATGTGAGTTTTGGGCAGACTTTGGCTCAGAATATGGGAGGAGAGGAGAGAAGAGGAGAAAAGAGGAGAGAGACTGCGGAAGAGAGGATCATAAGAGATGGCATGAGTTGAGCGGTAATTGTGATGCAATTCAATCAATAGTGAGTGCAGTTATTGAGTGTTTTTGTGCTAAGAATTTGCTAAAGAATTGTGAATTGAGA